TAGGGGTGGGGGCGGGAGCGGGAGCGGCCAGCCTGGAGGAGCGCTGGCTCGTTTCTCCGCCCCATTCCCCGCCCAGGCTCGGTAAACAGGGCTTGAGCGCTGGGGCCTGCGAGGCAGGGCTGAGTGTCTGAGGACAAGGCGCTGGCTTTGCTAATCACATCACAAGACCTTGAGCCCGGGCCAAAGGCGCGGAATGGCGCGGGGTGTCCGGGGCGGGAGAGCTGGCTCGGGGAACTAGAGGGAAGTCCGGGGAGCACTATGGACATGGAGGAAGTCACTTCCTTTACCTTTGTGTCTGCTGGTTGGCCTGGTCTCCCTAACAACCCTCTCGGGTGGGGGTGCAGCTGCTGGCCAAGGCTTCCCTCCAGCAACAGCTTTAGCCTGTCGAGTCCTGCAACCTTCCGTCTTTGGGTGTGGGAGGTTCCGCATCGAATCTGAGCTCTCTGCTGGCTGCCCGAGGCCGTGGTTGCTGAACCACCGCTCCGGTGTGTGTGTGTGTGTCCCTTTCTGTTGGTTTTGGTGCAATCCCCCACTAGCTTTCTTTCGATAGAAAATGATCTTTCCCAAAACTCCCGGCTTTTTCTGAGAGGGAGCAGACACCCCCATCTAGCGCCCAGTGAGGCTAAAGCCACCGGCAGCTTTTCTCGGCCGGCCGATTTGGAGTCAGGTCTTCTCTCCCCTACACTGAGTCCATACTAGCTGCCAAAAGCTGGAGTTGGGCCCATGATTTCACCCAGCTGGCAGACTAGACTGCCCTGGGTGGAAAGCCCAGCAGCTGCCAGGGAAGGACGCTTGACCTACACCCTCCCCGTGTTGCTCTTCCTGTCTGCTAGCACCCGGTCCACTGTGCACCTGGGCTGCATCGGTTAAGGGAAGGAGGTAGGCCTGTCACTCAACAGGCTCCGGAGCTCAGCGTGTGTTTGCTCACTCTGCGGCGCCTGCTGCCCCGGTAGTTAGAGCCCAGGGCAGAGCTGGAGGACTTTAGGGTCACAGATGTAGTAGTACTTGGGAAGCCGAGTAAAGTTTCAGACCAGTCTAGTTCAGCTTAGTGTGAGACCCTAACTCAATAAAGAAAAAAAAAAGTATGGATTGGAGTTGAGGTTCTGCCCCGGTAAGTCATGTGGTCTGGGCAAATCACATAGTCTGTTTGGCACTTGGGTTTTCTTACTTTTAACACAAAGATAAAATTCGTCTTTTACTCATCCCTTGGTCACCTCTGTCAAGGCACAACATATCCAAGAAGGTGTCTAAAAGGAACAAAGCCCACAGCATCCTATATATTAAAGCAAACTGGCTTTTGGCTGTGGCCAGAGCAGAGGGACTGAGGGTCACAGAATAATGAGTATAGAGTCAGGGGTCACCCAGATCTTAGGACCCTAAAGCTTGGAGCCAAAAAGCAAGTAGTAACTTAAGGAAATATGGCTGCTTCACTCTTTCCACCCATGTTGTGTTGTCCCCAAGACAAAGACTGGGCACCTGTAGCCGGAATGACCCCAAACGTGAGCATAAATCTCTGACTAAAGTTTTCTAGGTTCCTCTTAGGAAAGCGTGGAGCAACCATACCCCTAGCTGCTGCTAGGATTTCAGATACAAACTGGTGGAAACATCCTAGTCGTGTCGGGTTGTCTCCCCCCCCCCCCCCCCCCCCCCCCC